ACAATAACAATATAATAGATAATGGTTTAAAAAGAAAGATATTAATGTTATTAAGGAAAAAATCGTGTAAATTTAATTAAATTACAAGTATTATACAAGCTTAGTTAGGGAAATAAGATGTAGGCGTACCTGGATTCAATATAATCCACCAATAGAAGAGACTGATCTCTTTAAATCGACACTTGGCTGAGGACGTGTTTGCAAAATGGACTCGTCTGAACTGAGCTGGAACTGAAACTGAACTGAATTCGCGCTCTTGAGACATGAGCCCTTTTAAAGGGGTTCGTCTTTCCTTTCAATGACCTAATCGATGGAGTGAGATTTCAAAACGTCTAAACATCGATATCTTTAGTTTGATAATCGATTGGTTTGTCATGCTGTCTAAATTGATATCAATACGCCGTCTTCCGATTTCCCTTTACAGTTTATAAGATCTTAGCCTAAATACGCTACACGCTCGTGAATCAGCTCCAACGAGTGCCAATAAAACTCATTAGTACTGTGACGTAGCAAAATAGTTGCTCGTCACAAGGAATTTTAAGACCGGAGCGGGGAGGAGTACCTCTGGCAATCATTAGGATAAGCATTATGTTTTTTGATAAGAATTTAAAATTTGCGATAGATTCTACGTCGCGCAGGTGCCGGTCGCATAGTGCGCGCGTAAACATCCTCTTTACAGGCTCACGGATAGCGCGCGAGCCTCGAATTCAGAGGTCTTGCTGCCATCAGTCGGCGGCCGCCCTAATTAGGCGGCCTAGTGACCTAATTTAAACTAGGCGAGATGGCAGGTCGGGGCCCGGTAAGAGGTTCCGCTAGGCCCGCCAGGAGGACACCGGAGCCGGAATGTAGGATCTTCTGGCGCATCCGGCATTGCCAAAGGGATTGTCAGCGAGGACAGACCCAGTCAGCTATTCCCGTCCCGCTAGGCGCCGTACCGCCGTTACCGAAGGGCGCCTTACCGCAGCTCCCGACAGGCGCCGTGCCGCAACTCCCGAAGGGCGCCGTCCCGCCACGCCTAGGAAAAGCTGCGGAGCCAGGAACGTCCCGGCCTGAGTGGACCTCTGACCGGTGAGCCCGAGCCTGCCCAGGGGGCCTCTTAGACCGATATTTCTCCCGTGTGACCGTGAGCCGATACCGCGCCGCGACCACCGCCATTTCGAGTCCCACCAGCCGGACATTATTGTAAAATCGTAAATTCCGTGCGTGCCTCCCGAGTGTCTTGGGGAGGACTTTCGCCTCTGTTGAAGGGCCGTGTTCGAGCCGCGGAAAGCGCGTCGCCCTTTAAATTTTTATGTTAAGTTCCGACCGGCGGAGACTCCCACCCGCTCAAAAGTATCGCGCCCCGTACTGTCGATTGCCTAATCCCGGAAGTGGATAGGACTACCGTTTTAGGCTGCCCGTGAGCAGGTCGGAGTGGGTGGGAGGCGTAGGGCCGTATCGCGAGCCGGTGCCAAATCTCTTTGCGCAGTTATCGAAGGCACCGGGCTCTTATCGGGGCACTGGGGGCCCAAAATAGGTCCGTCCGCTAGGGTGTAGTACCCTGTGCGAATTCCCACCGGGGAATTCGCTTCTGTAATCGCGCGCTCTAAATTTTTTGTCATTGGTCCCGTTATGTTTCGATTTCCCCCGTTTGAATTTTTTTCCCGTACCGAGTTGGCGTAACGTCTGCCGAGTTTGTGACGCGCTTCCGTGAAGGGCCCAGCGATATAAATCTCCCGAAGGGAGGATCTACCGCAGTTTTGTTTCTCGTCATTTTACCCTACTCCGGTAACCGAATCCCGAGTCGACTCCTCCTCGCTCACACTTCTCGGAGTACGAACCCCCCGACTCTTCCGTGCCGTGAGGGGCCTAAGGTCCTCGCGGGGCTGGGTAGCCGGTCGGATACGCCCAGGGGAAGGTCCCGTCGTCAGGCCAAGTCGGCGTGCTCGCGCTACCGGGTACCGGGATCCCGAGGTGTGCTTGCGCACCTGGCGCCCTAAATAAATCGGGCTCCCGGAAGGGCTCGGCCACTGTTTCGCGTTAGATCCCTGGCGTATGACGGTTTGCCGACTAGGGATAGGAAATTCCCGTCGCAGTACTTAAAGCTAGAGATAATTTATCGGGTGGGTTACGTGGGACGTAACAACATGCAAATTTATAAACCATATGGAAATTGAAAAATGATGAAATTTCAGAGTTCCGTGGTTCAAAATAAAACAAATTGACGGCATTGACATTAAAGCAAAATGATATGGAGAGAAATTTTGCAAAAAATGTAAACTAAAATAAGTACAGTAAATAGAGGAAACACGATTGGAAATAAAATTTTATATTTTCGAAGGAATTGACATTCTTGCAATATGATATACGCAAACAAGTTGTAGCGTATTTCACGACTGTCGTACAGCTTCGCTACAGCCCAAAGGTAAATTTAAATGGCCAATATTTCGTTATATGAATTCTCTGACGAAGGTTACACATGGAGGGTAAAGGGGCAGAGGGGGGTGAGTCATTCGGGAAGCGTTCGAGTCCGTCGACACTCAGCCTCGGTGGTAGCAGATGAACGGAGGGCCGGTGCGGTAAGGGGACTGCACTCTTGCGACTCTCTATATCCGCCCTGGAGGCCATGTGCCCGAGTGAGATGGCCTATTTGATGCTTTAACCGTCTTTTAAAGTAGAGACAGACTTATGCGTCCGGGCTTCGAGTCCTGATCAAATTACGTTTTCGCGCTGGCGTGGCCGGCACGGCTCGGCCGCCGACAAGTGGTTCGAGGGGCGTGGCGCTCTCGCTTGCTCCTTCGGGTCGCATAGGCCCCGGGCTTCCACTACTGCTCTCAAGACTTCGGTCTCGGACCTCCAACCCCCTGCTGTGAGGGTATCAATGTTGGTTTCCCGATAAGCGGATTATTCTCAATGTTTTCACGCCGGCGGAGAAGATTCTCTTTCAGCCTAGGCCTACGGCCTCGTTCCTTCCGGAACGTCGTTCTCCTGTGCTCTCTCGCGGGTCTTATGTCTCCCGACGGCGTTCTCACTTGGACTCCTTTACCCGCAGGCCTTATCGCCCCTTTCTTCCAGGGCTCGCAAGGTGGATTGTCATTTGGCGACGACCGCAATCAAGTAATTGACAGAGGGAAAGGGGATCGATTCCTTAGCGAAAACTGTCCTCTCGAATAAACTATGCGGTCTACTCGTAACTTTAACATTTCGTCGTCCCTGTTTTATTAATACATGCAAATTTATAAACCATGTGGAAACTGAAAAATGATGAATTTTCAGAGTTCCGTGGTTTAAAATAAAACAAATTGACGGCATTGACATTAAAGCAAAATGATAGAAAGAAAAATTTTGCAAAAAACGTAAACTAAAATAAGCACAGTAAATAGAGGAAACATGATTGGAAATGAAATTGTATATTTTCGATGGCATTGACATTCTTGCAATATGATATTATATGCAAACAATTTGTAGCGTATTTCGCGACGGTNTCTCTCTCTCTCTCTCTCTCTCTCTCTCTCTCTCTCTCTCTCTCTCTCTCTCATCCTGAGCGGCTCTCTCGCAGATCTTATGCCTCCCGACGGCGTTCTCGCTTGCCGTCGTTCACCCTCAGGCCTTATCTGCTCTTCCTTCCGCGGCTCGCAAGGGGGACTGTCATTTTGCAGCGACCGCGAGCAAGTAATTAACAGAGGGAATGGAGGATCAATTCCTCCACGAAAAATGTCGTCTCGAATTAACTGTGCCATATAGTCGTAATGTTAACCCTCCGTTGTCCATGCCTTTTTCGGACACGTAATTTTATGACTTGTATTTGTATTTAAAATGCAAGTTAACGATGTAATTTCATCTGTTTTTGCCCATGTGACTTTTTCGAGTTACGCTTGTTAGTAGGTATACTGGGCCGGTTCTGAATAGATCAGTATGCGTGCGCACGTACATGGACACACACACCTGCGCACCGCTGGCCTATATGTGTAAGTCCCCTTACCCCCAACCGCCTTGCCTACCCCGCCCGTCGGACCCCGCTCCATCCTCTGAAACATTGACGCAACATTTCCTCCCTCTCCCCCCGCGGACGACAACATTGAGATCGGAATTTGCCGTCAGCCATTCGATTCCCCGGATTCTGCCATCCGCCACTCGATTCCAAGAATCGCGTCGGCACCTCTGTTCCCCGCAGCGGTGGAAGACTCGCGACGAGATTCTAAGAATTCCCGTCGTTTAGAAGGGATTGCCGTTATCTCCCTCGATGCAAGAATCCATCGGCCATTTGACACCGGAAGATCCGCGACATAATTCCGAGAATTCCCTTCGTCCGTCGATTTTTGGAGGACAACCGTTATCTCCCTCGACGCAGGAATCCACCGGCTCTCGTCGGCCGCTGCGTTCGCCACTCGATTCCAAGATTCGCGTCGGCACTTTTGTTCCCCACAACGGCGGAAGACTCGCGACGACATTCTGAGAATTCCCGTCGATCTTGGAGGACAGCCGTTGTCTCCCTCGACGCAGGAATCCGCCGGCTCTCGTCAGTCATTCGACATCGGAAGATTCGCGACGTAATTCCGCGAATTTGTCGTCTTCGGAGAATTAGAAATCCGTTAGCTCTCGTAGACGTTGGACGATAGCACTTTGGAACGTTCTAGAACTTCTGACCTTAAACACTTCTCTCTGTCTCTCACCGTCAACGATTCCAGGAAATCCCCTACCATTTTTTAAAAACAAAAGAGGGCTCCCTGTATAAAAGTGCTGCATCAGGACGTATTCATTATTCGAGTGATCAGAGTCAGGTTATGCGGAACAGTGAGAAGCAGCGTGAAGTTGCAGTCTGCATAGAATTGCTGGAAGACGCTCCCATGGGCACGGTGGTTGAAACAGGAACGTTATGGGCTCGGTGAAATAGTTATCGGTTCCAATTAGAGAAAACTCCTTTAAAACAAATTTATTCGACGGTTTCTTAAATCCTTGCAGATCTACGATGACCTCCATTTCCTTTTTCAAACTGCGCAGGAGGAAGCGATCGAGGCTTTTTATACCAACTTCTTCACCCCACCACTGATCGTATTGTACTCAACGATACGATCGTGCAGGATTAAGCAAAATGCCGATGTTTCGGCAGGGAAATTCTTTTCAGCCTCAAATTCGTGGCGAATGTCGACCAGTCCGAACTTGAGGGACTCGTTTTGTTTCGAGCAATTGATGACGATCAGAGGCAGAGGAGGGTTTCTCTTTAACAGCGGCTCAAGGTCTTTACCGTAATACGACGCTTGAAAGTTTGCGTACATCTCGTACAGCAGAGCAAACAGATTGCGGGCAATGTCAAGGTTCAAACTTCCATAAGGGTAACATTGTGAATTCAAAAAGAGTTTAACGTCCCTGACGTTACAGTGATCGACGTGACTCGCGTTTTTGTCGTTCTTATTCTTTCTGTTCGTCTGGAAACCCAGGACGACGTATCGAGATTTTTCCAACTGTGTCGACGTCTTGACGGTCCACACGTGTTTCGAAATGGTGGGGAGAAGAGGATACTCATATAACTCCCAGGTACGAAAGCTCATGGAGATGGGTGCATCTTTCTCGATGAACTTCAACAATTCTATCTTTCGTCGATCCGAGACTCTCACGTACGGCATCAACCACTCCAAGTTCTGAATTACGACTTTGTATTCCTCAGAAGCAGTTTGCACGATCGCATTGGCGTCGCTCTTGGCCCTCGTCAGAATCAATTCATGTTTAGCGTTGACAACGATCTTCCGATAATCCTCCGCGAATCCCAGTATCATGCTCAGCGGTATGGATACGTCGAAGTAACCGGCTACATCGGTCAATTTCGATTGCTCGGTGATCCAACCGGCGTTTTCCATCAATGCGCGTTGACCGGGTGTTAGGGAAAGGTAACCCTTCATGAGACTCGTGAGACCAACGTTCTTGTTTCGATCGATCTCGATGGCGTTCATTTCATAGCGAATTTCCTCGAAGAGATGACAGATGGCGTTATTGACCAAAGCCGTACTAGCAGTCACCGTAGACCCATCTTTCTTAACCAGCTTCCCGTATACGTGTAACGAACTTCTGCTCGGTAGTAAGCACAGGTCTTGGTGTTGAACGGAGATTCGAATCTCGTCGCTGTTATTGAACGTTGACGAGGCGTAAGGTTGGTGCGCATGCGTCTCGCAGTGCGCTATGGACTTGTCGAAGATGACGGGCATCCGAATGTTCAACGTTTCTTCCTCCATGGTATGCACGCTTTGAGAAGCGATCGATGACTGGTTTCTTTTCGGTATATCGGTTTGCTATTATAGCCGCTACCGATCTTTCTGTTGTAAACGATTCCCATTATTGCATGGATTTAACGTGTAGTCTTATCGTTATGACCTCCCCTTGAAAATTGACCAAGTCTCCGTCCTGATCGACTATTCGAATCTGTAGATGATCTATGGTCTTGGTCACGATCGGAAGGTAAATGACGTGCGATGGCACCTCTATGATCTTATATCCCGGTGGTACGACCGGGAAGAATTCGTGTATAGTATGCACCTTGCGTTCGTTGATGTAGGCCCCCGCGGTAATATTACATTCGACTCGCAAAGCGTTTACTTTGAGAATGGTTACGGGTACATCGGACGTATGCAATATATTGGCTTTCAAAATGCGTGGAGTGAAGCCCAATAGACGACCTATGGAATCGTTCGGTAGAAAATTGACGTCACGGTTACACTTAACTTCGCTGCATAACGTATAATTGTTAGGTCTAATGTTAACGATAATATTCTTATCCTTCAATGCGCTCTGCACGTAGTTCTCGCTATCTCATAGCTTCCAGTGGGTATAGCAATAATTTCATCCCCGATGTAAAACTTATTGTGACCGGTATCCACGTTAGGAATTGAATTGAAAGTTAACAGCTCGATGAGTCCGAGAGTATAATTTTTATACGGAGAAAGTTCAACGGGAGGAAAATATTGAGTTTCGAGTACGGAGGAGGTGCCCGATAAAGTCAGCGTAAATGAATCTTCCATGATTGCGATCGATGGACTGACATCATGAAACTATGCACTACGTTTATATAAACTGTACTTATTCCTACGATTTAGTTGCCCGCAAAGAAACTTTAGACACAAGTGTCCGCAATCGAAAGTATCACATTTCTGATATCGTTCGTAATTGTACTCTACACTACCAACACCGAGATATCTCATGAGATCCAATGGCGGTCGAAGATTACCGAAACTATCGAAATAAACGACTCGATCGTTCGTCTTCTTGTATGCAACCCAATGAGTTCCGGGACCATCTTCGTCGTCGAGATTGACTATCGCCGATTCGTATCTGTACGGTCCATTCTTCGGCATAGCGTTCCGCATAAAGACTCCACGAAAATGTGGTATCTTGACAATTTTTGCGTACTTGAGCAGGTCGGCATCAGTTAACGCCCGGTATGGTAGTTTCGTTTCAAGTTTTTTGGCTTCACGTGAATACCCAGTCCTTTCCTATAGGGTTTCAAGTACAACCCCTTGTCCAGTGTAATGGCTTCCATCGACTTGTTATGCCTCTCGCTTTCCTTCAATTGTTCCTTGGATGCGTTCGCATCGTTTACAGCTTTTGCGATGCCTGCCGCTCTACCGGCCAACGCTCCAGCGGCACTGAGACCCGCAAATACGGGGACGAGAAAGGGTAGGAAGCCTCCAATTTTTTATGGTACTGATAGAACGCGCGGTTTACGAACCTTGCGTTTTCCACCCGCTTGTTTAACAACCATTTGCGCGCCCTTGAGGGCAGATTTGATAGCGATCCGAGCATCGTTACTCGGAATCATCAATCGTATCTTTCGATAACTTTTCGCAGCGCGATCGCTTTAGGCTTCTTCCTCTTGTTTCCCATTCCAAATTTCGATTTAGCTTTCATTAAGTTCGTGACGGTCCAAGCGGCTGCTTTTTCGGCCACACTCGCGTCTTTGGCTAAAACGCGATTCCAAGCTTTGTCAGCCAATACCCTATCCGCTACCCCTCTCTGCTCGAGATTTTCTCGATTCTTCGAGTAGGCGATGTCGTGCTCTTTGCAAGCAGCGTCGAGGGGGTTGATGCCTGGATCACCTCGTGCCAATCTTTTGGCTAGTTTTGTTCCGGGTCCGCAGTACTGATAGCCGAGTATATGCAATTCAATGGGGAGACCGTTGATGATCTTGTTAACTAAGCCTTCACCGTCGCGACGCTTTCTCTTGCAGATGCGTTTGGATTTACCATGCACGATCATATCCACCCTCTGTCGCGAAACGTTTTCAACTGAACGGCGATCTTTATAAATCTAGTATTTATAGTTTTTTTACTAGTCGCAAGCGAGATGAGGTTCGAGACACAGTCTTTGAAGTTTCCTGTAATGAATTTCGACGAATTGATGCGAGTGAAGAAAAGAAGAAAGAGACACGGTGAATTATTACCGAACAGCATACGCGCGGTGTTTTGCGGACCATCCAATTGTGGCAAAACGAACGCGTTACTCTTTCTCATAACTCACCCTAATGGATTGAGATTTGAGAACGTTTATGTATATTCAAAATCGTTGGATCAATCGAAGTACAAGTTTCTCGAAGATTTACTCGATTCCGTGGATGGCGTCGGATACTTTCCCTTTACGGAACACGAACAAGTGCTGCCACCGAACGAGGCTCGTCGAAACTGGATAATTATTTACGACGATATAGATTGCGAGAAGCAAGATAACATTAGATCCTTCGTCAGTATGGGTCGACACAAGGACGACTGTTTCTATCTTTGTCAGACGTACGCTCGGATTCCTAAACACCTTGTACGCGATAACGCCAACCTGTTGGCACTCTTTAAGCAGGACGACATGAATCACAAGCACGTGTACGATGATCATGTAAACACGGACATGACCTACGCACAATTTAAAGACCTGTGCTCGGTATGCTGAAAGGAAGATAAGTACGGGTTTCTCGTTACCGATAAGGACAGCGAGCTCAACGGAGGTAGATACCGAAAAGGATTCGACTGTTTCATGCGGATAAATGGAGGATCATCGAAAGAATAAACACAGTAGCGTCTCGGATTTAGCAATAACAACATGCACCATGGGAAATTTCGAGAGCAAAAAAATATCCTGCATCAAATCGCGAAAGCTAGCGACGCGATTCGCAGGAAGCATCGAATGATAAAATCGGGTAAAGGGAACATCGAACGAGCGATGAGTGACGCCTTTAAACCGTTAGTTTCACCGCTTAAGGAATTAGTAAATGAAACGGAGCGTAATATGATCAAGGATAAGATAAAACGAGAGGTAAAACGAAACGATACGGTCGATGAATCCTTCGAGTCGACGAAAGGTGATTTCACCGAAGAAGAAGAGGATGCTGAAGTAGGGGATGGGAATGACGATTCGGTGCAACGGTATCTCGATATGTTACGATCCAATAAACAGAAAACTCTGAATACGGTCTGCGGTGTACGCAAACTGTCTAAGAATAGGCTAATGATTGGTGATGCGTCTATAAGCTTCGAGGGTGATCGAATTCATGTAGGTGATACGAGTTATTTAAGAACAGTTGGATTGATGGAACTTTTATTTAAGAAAGTACCCGATGAGACTGACATCACCCAAGATGAACTTAGATAATTATCGAAAAATTATCGTAGCAACGAATGCGTACAGAAAATACTATACTCCGCATGGTGCCGTTTGCGAGAGCAAAATTTCCAAATTTCGAAACATTATCGCAAAACTGATCGATAAATCCTTGATAACGGGTGAAGGTGTCGTATCACCTCGGTATATGATCGCTGTAAAGAACGGGCGAACGGATTACGTATACTGGGACGATCCCAACGAATTGGTAGATCATCTTCGCCTTCTTCTCGCGTCTCAGGAGGCTGGTAACCCCAGTCACTCGAACGAAATTGTATCGATTCTTGAGGAATTGCGTGAGGCGGGTATCGTTTATTAATTCATCGAAACGATCGCGATCGTCACTCTAAAAATGAGAGTCGACGTACTCGGACGTCAGCTGAGCAGCAGAACCCCGATCACGAGTAACCGTGGTATCCCCGGAGTCGGCTTCAAGATTACCGCTGATGGACAGTACGATATAGATAACAAGAGGCTGTACAACGTCGCCACCCCCAAGGATCAAAACGATGCCGTGACATTAAATATCATGAAAACTGTTGTGAAGCAGGAAATCGCTACGGTATTCCATACGATGACAGGGATGCGCAGCGATATCGATAGCAACAACGTAATGATTCAAGGTCTCGATTCTACCGTGAGAAAAGCGTTGACGGGATTGCGAGTTGACATCGGATCGTTACAAGACCTGGCGATCCGCAACTCGGAGATCATTTCCCAACTGGACGCTAGACTGAATGTATTGGAAAATGAATGGAAAAAAGTTAGTCGTGGTGAAGGAACTGCATAAACCTGCTAGAAGAAATTATCGACGCAGACGTGTCGATATCCGTGGATTGGACGAGACCTGGCAAGCCGATCTCGTTGACATGTCAGCCTATGCGAGAGAGAACCGTGACTACAAGTATCTGCTCACCGTTTTCGACATATTTTCAAAATTTGCTTAGGCTGTGGCGTCGAGGAGTAAGAACGCTAAAGATGTGACGGCGGCTATGAAATTTATACTGGTGCAGGGTCGATCCTCTAAGAAATTACACGTTGACAGAGGTCGAGAATTTTACAATTTCGAATTCCAAGATCTGGTGCGAAAACATGGTATCACGCTGTACTCGACATTTAGCAACTTGAAGGCATCGATTTGCGAGCGATTTAATCGGACTCTGAAAAGTAAAATGTGGATGCAGTTCAGCCTACGGGGTAATCATCGGTGGTTGAATCTTTTATCGGGCTTGGTATCCTCTTACAATGACAGTAGACACCAAACGATTGGTATGAGGCCTGCAGATGTTACCGCTAAGAATGAGAAGATATTACTGCATCGAGTGTTCGGCAATTTTAAGACTAAATCTACGCTTAAACGATCAAAGTTTAAAGTAGGAGATAAGGTGTGAGTAAATAAATTTAAACACGTTTTCGAGAAAGGCTACACACCTAATTGGACGACGGAAATATTTACAATAAGTCAAACTAAAAATACCGATCCGGTGACGTATAAACTTAAAGACTATCAGGATCACCCCATTGAAGGCGGTTTCTATGAACAGAAACTCAACGGCGTTAAATTTCCCGACGTTTATCTTATAGAGAAGGTGCT